AATTACACATGTTTTTACCCCTATTCTTTAGCCGTTTGAGACATTGATTCTCGTGTTTTAAGCCGATTTCACGCTAGGTTGTGCGTTTATGTCATATTTCAGGGCTTAGCGTTGGCTTCGAGGCGAAGGAACGAGATTTGGGTCGAAGGGAGCAAGTGAGGTTTGAAGTGTGCTGGAGAACAAAAATACCCGGCCATGATCAGAAATACCCAGCCGGGTATTATTTGGCGATGACCGGGGATCTGAAGCTTTGGGCGTCTTTGAGAAACAGAGGGGGGCCCGGGCAGGAGGCAAAAATCCCCGGTCGGGGATTCTTGGCCATGACTGGGGATTTTCCCTGTCACCTGACGGTGCGTTTTGCACATACCCGGTCGCCACCCAAAATACCCGACCGGGTATTTAGGCCGGGGATCGCGACCGACAGCTTCTTAAGGTAAAAGAAGGCTAAAAATCAAGGGTTCCGAGTTTTAGAGAGACAGAGCGATTCCTAGAGAGAGAAAGCGACGAACCAGAGTTCCTTAGTGCCCTAGCTTGATCTTCATCACCATTGGAGCCCGGCTTGAGCTTGGAGAAGTGCTGATCGACAACCAGGAGCAGAAATCCATCCTTCACAATATGGTTTCCGCATCTGAATCTGCTTTTGCTTCTCTCTCCATGGAGTAGTTTTCCCATTCATCTGGGTATGGAGAACCCTAGATTTGTATGTTAGGTCTGATTGTATGAACCCAAGTACAAATTTTATGATTTGATTATATTCAATTGAGGCTTGAATGATTGAATGACTTGAATCCTGATCAAATTCCTGTTATTTCTGTTTTAGCCTAGAAAGAGAATATCTGCCTAGGTTAATAGAGCACCCTTAATTGAAGATAGTGAATTGGCGACTTTAGTCGAGGAGCCAGTTCACTATTCTGTACCGAATTTGCTTCGGTAGTGGAGGTTTGGTTCGTTAGGGCCTCAATCTGTTTACTCCAGTGGAGGTTAGTCGCCCGCTGGGGACTCAGATGGAGAGGGTCTGGAGACCTTTAGTCGAGACTTCAGACTGTTTAAGAACCTTCCGCAGTATAACTATCCTAGAAACTGAACTTGGTAATTGCAATCCGGCTTAACTGCAGTCTAGGGGGAACCATATCCGGGTGACCTCTCTCGACTTGAAAACAACCGTTTAATTGCTTGCTTTACTTGTTTTCTTGTTTGAACCTGCAATAAAGTTTCACCGCTAGATAATAAGAATTCACTGAGTAGTCATCATATCTAGGACCCGGGTTGACATTAAAACCCAAACCCGCTTTACTACGCTTTAGGAAATGGTTACACTTGGCCATTTTCTAGAGTGACAGTAGGAGTGAGTCAGAAGCACATCGAATTGGACTGTCACTTCGTCAGAGAAAAGCTCCAAACCGGTACACTCAAACTTCTTCACATCTCCTCCTCTCATCAGCTCGCGGATCTCTTCACCAAACCACTTTCCCCAGCACCATTCCAAACGTTGCTCTCCAAGCTTGGTGTGCGAAACCTCAGCCCACCAGCTTGCCGGGGGGTGGGGTGGGGGGGGGGGGGGTAACAGATTGAAAATCAATTTCAACGGTCATCTCCCCTGCGGCGTCATTCACTCCTTGCTCCGGGATTTATTGCAACGCTGTCGTTTCCTTTCCTTCCCGCTGCGCTTTGCTGCGGTGTCGTTTGCTGTAATGGACTTGCGTCAATACGCAGTCGTTCTTTCGTAGTTGGTGCCTGTATTTGCTTTCGTTCCAAGTCAGTAGTTGTTTCCATTCCAAGCTACAAAACAGATGTATGGTGTTTGTCATCTTCTTCCTTGTTCTGCCTATAAATTGGCCGTGAAAGTAATGAGAAAAGTAGTGAGCTATGTTTTATCACTTCAAATTTCCTTTGTTAGCAGGCATCCTTGATGTTTATGACAATCGCTGTGGCATGCTTTCGATACGATATGGGGATGCACCACTACATGTACAATTTTGTATTTTAAGACGTAGATTAATGAAATCTTAGTCAAGTCTCCATTCACTCTACATGAAAGTATTGATCTTTGATTGCAGAAATCGAATGCTTACGAGTTACGAGTTCACATTTGCTGGCATCAATCTTACCCTCTGGATGAGCAAGAATTATCTGGAAAACATAAATTACTCATCGATGAAAATTACATTTTAGTACATGTATTTATTTTTAGGGTTAATATATTTGTATGACCTGAACTTTGCACATAATAAACATCCTGACCAATCTTTTCGATTTATTACATCATGGCACAAACTATACATCAAAGTTACTAAAATTGGCCAAACTCGATGTTTGACCGTTATCTTGGACGGTCAAACGCATTGCCTAACAGTAAACGCGCCATGTCATTGCCAAGTCAGCACCTTTCACTTAATTTTTTTATAATATTTTTCACCTTTCACTTAAAGAAAAATGAAAAAGAAAAATGGTAATAGGTGGAAAATATAAAAAAAAATTAAGTGAAAAGTGCTGACTTGACAATGACATGTCGCGTTGACTCGTTAGTCAACGCGTTTGACCGTCTAAGATAATGGTCAAACACCGAGTTTGACCAATTTCATAACTTTGATGTATAGTTTGGGTCATGATGTTATAGATCGAAAAAATTGATCAAGATGTTTATTATTTGCAAAGTTCTGGCCATACAAATATATTAACCCTTATTTTTATCTTATAATTAATACCTAAACTTTTACAAATAGGTTAAACTTTTGTGTATTCCAAGTTTTTAGGTTTAGTTAAAACACCTAAAAGGGAAATGAGGAAACATGTGTAGAGATGACAATGAATCAGGTTTCTTCAAACCCGACTCCAATCCAGATGGTCCTTTCGTAAAAAAAAAAAAAATGGTGAAAGATCACCTAGAGTTGTAAGAAAATAATTCAAACAATACCGTTGGGTGCATGGGCATTCATTGATTCACGAATGTAATCACGAATAATTATTCCGAAGGCCCGTATATTTATATTATAATTTTTTTATAACTATTATAATTTTTTTGCTACAACTATATTGCTGTAGAGACAGATAGAACATCAATAATAATCCATATTATTAGAATTATGCTGCTAAAAGACTAATAACATTCGTAAAGTATTCATATTGTTAGTATCATTCTTTGTGGGAGCGAATCGGGTATAGGGATGGCAATTGTACTCTCAACCGTGAGTATCCAGCCCTATCTGCCATCGTCAATAAGGTGAATCCACACATTGACGAGGTACGAGACTAGTATAGGTAATATCAACAAAGAAAATGGAGGGAGATTTCTATACTACTTACATCCAATTACATGTTATATGATCTTTCCCACCTCCATCTTCCACAGAACACCTTCAGTCCTTTCATTTAACATTTCAGATTCTGTCAATACACATATGCCACCTTTAATCGTAAATTCCCCTAAAAATTAAAATGTTGTTATGCTTCTCATACTTTTGGTAATTAGTATGTTTTTGTTGGACGCGAGGGAGGTTATCAGGCATATATCAACAACGATGGTCCTGAAGCGCGTATGGGCCAATCCTCACAAAACACCACAAAGGCCCAATAGAAGCCCAATGAAGTGTGACAAGACTTGACCTATAAATATGCTATTAGGTCTTCAAAGTGAGGGGTCTCCTTCTCTTCCATTCATTTTGGCATATCATTTATCTCTCTACAAGATCTCTCTATCTAGCTCTTTCTATTTCCTATCATGATACTAATGTTGATCGTTGGAGTGTAGAGACCGGGGGTCATCCCCGCCCTTTCACAGATCCGGCGTCCTACTTGTTTCATGGCTGAAACAGTTTTATAAAGTTCTGTTCCGTTCAGATTTGTGGAGCAGAGATTATCCAAGGTACCTTCACGTCCGTGGGAGCGGGGTTACTATTAGTTCGGGTGGTACGGTTATATATACAGACATAGACATTAACTTATCCGTAATCCGCAAGGAAGAAGGATTTCATAAATACGTAACGGGCAAGGCAATTATTGTCTCCAAGGCTAATTGTTTTTGGGCAGAGGGTCAAATAACCAAATTTGGTACTTCATTTTTAGCAGTGGCAGACCCAGGATTCTTTGATAGGTGTGTCTGAAGACAAAAAATAATTAATAAATTAAATGTATTAAATAAAAAGTAAAATAAAATATCAATTCATTAAGGTCGTAATTTATTATTTTTCACAGTGACACACGACAATTTTTCATATTCAGAAAAGTTTGTAAAATATATTTGTCTCTTATGGTGTGATCAAACTTTTTTCAACGTACAAAAGTAAAAATTCATTCATAAAACTTATTTTGAAGTTCGCTCTTGATTAACTCCACATCATAAAATAGAGAGCAGGAACGCTGGCGACAGGCGTTAACGTAAAAGTTTGAAAGAGGATGAGGTTCCACCAGCAGGTGCTAGCAATTAGAGAGTGGAGCAGAGGACAGAGAACTGTGAGCCATGGGTTGTGGATTTTTTCCTCTCGACATTTTCACTAAAAATTAACATAAATAATATATATATTTGTGTATTTTGGTACCTATTGCTATATGACATCAAAATTAATGTAGTGTATTAAAGGTGTGTCGATTGCAATTATGTGAGGTGTGTAAGAAATCCCGAATTCAAGTTTTTTGTACCAACGAAACATGGATCTCTCACAAAATTTCCGAGCCAAGGTGTATCGGTCGGCACACCTTGCTAATGCATGGGTCCGCCCCTGATTTTGAGTTAGGTACGACTACTCATACATACCAGGAGTGAAATAAAGTTGCGAACTAACTCTCGATTCATAGTATCGTGATCTATCCATACGGTACGTATGAGTTGACGACTCCACCCCAAGATGTTCACCCGCTTCCCCCCTAATCCCTATCGCTATCCTCTCTCTCTCTCTCTCTCTCTCTCTGTTTCATTGGCCTAAGTACATCGGAAAAATAAATTTAGGGATGCCAATTTAGATCCAACTCGCACATTCAATTCAAACTGCCTCGACGGATTCACGGTTACATAGGTATATTTATTAGTGTATTACCCATCTCCTTGTTGTCCACTTGCAAGAACAAGTTAGGAGAACATAATCGATCGTGTATATAGATAATATTCCACAAATCACAAAGAAACGTAACGTATTTCGTATACGCTACTTAATATTTTTTTGTTCTTGCATGTAAACATTAACCTCTAATCTTCTAGCCAAATTTCTCTTGTATATGAATCATCATAGTAACAATATCCATAACACTATCCCCATCAATTGTCTTCTTTTTCGTATTGCATGCATCCTTCGCGCCTTTTCTTTCACCTCATCGAGAACAGCATTGGAGTCGTCCGTCAAAATGGACGCACATATCTTTACCCTCTCCTTAACATGCCAGTACCTCTCTTCCCAACCTTCGAACTTCCTTAGATCCACGCCATCGCCGGCGTCCCACTCTTCCAGGAACCGCAGCCTGTATATCGCGCACGGTTTGGATCCGAAGGGCTGGCAAGGAACCCGAGGGTATCTCCACTCGAACTTTGCAAAGTCTACATCCCGTCTCGTGGAGGCAATGTACACCGACACTACCTTGAAGATTAGGTTGCAGAAGGCATCAATGATACCGAAGCTACTGGCCTTGTCGGGCCCGCCGCTGTCCAGATATTCAATGCAAGCATCCTTGATGTTTATGACCATTGCTACGGCATGTTGCCGACAACTTAATAAGGGAACACACCACTGCGATCAAGAGAAATTTTACAATGCTATATAGTATTGGTGCTATAGGATTTTGCTTTTATGGTACAACTTAAAATTGTACGTTTATGTTATGGTACAATTTCAGACTGTACCTATACTTTTTGTACAAATTCTTTTATGGTACAACTTGAACTTGTACCTTTATGTGATGGTACAACTTCAAGTTGTAAAGTTGTACCATAACATAATGGTACAAATTGCTTTATGGTACAACCTAAACTTATACATTTAATGTTATGGTACAACTTTAAGTTGTACATTAAAGCACCAATACTATATAGTATAGTAGAAGTGCTCCTGCGATCAATAAAGTTGCCAAGGTCAGTTCCCATTAGATATGAAGCATTATGACGGACTTTTGTAGGAATGTGTTACTTACGAGGTCACATTTGCTGGCATCGATCTCGCCCTTGGGTATGTAGTCGATGGTTGACAGACACTCTTTTACTAGAGTCAAGCACTCATTATCGTCCATCTCATCAGCAGCAGCATCTTCAAGCCAAAAAGCAAGGTCGGTCGGGAAAACGAACTTTTTGAAGTAGCCATTGTTAGCTTTGAGGGAACTCTTGTTTATGTGGTCGATGTAGAGATCGGTCGCACTCTCTAGCACTCCAAAGTCGCTGACGAGTTTTCTGAAATCCATCCGTCTCAAGATCGTTTTCTCCCTCGCGTCTTGAAACAAAACCTCATCGCTGTTTCATCAAACACGAAACACGCAACTTTCAGATGCTTCAGTAGTGTTATTCTATCTACACTCGTTGGAATTATTGATTCAGTAACTGTTTGAAACTGTAGCCGAGTCGAAACTACTTACGGTGATAGCTCGGAATTGTATGCATATCTTTGAATCTGAAACTCTGTACTTGACTCTGCGTAGTTAGCAACCTGTTCTCTGAATGTTGTTAGGTCTAGAACATCGAACGCATCGACGAATCAGATCAAATTTAGGATAAACGAATCGTATTGAAACAATATAGAAACGAATCTACGCAGTAAACCGAATTGTTGCCTGCACCTCATTGCAACAACAAGTAAAACTACTTCAAATAACTTAGAAACAAGTCCTTTAAGAAAAATACTTACAACGGTGTTTTTTGGGTATTTTCCCTGCCACTCGTATTTCTTCCCCTTGTATTTCATCTAGTGCCTTTCCCACGATGGCAATCCTTTCCTCTGACCACTCCTTCACCGCCATCCACGCCTTCCGAACTATACCACCGTGCAAAGAATCGTCGTCATCGATCCGGCCATTCGTCAAGATCTCAATCCGAAGCTTCAAGCTCAGCACGATCTCTCCGTTGGGTCCCTGAATTTCAACATCCACGCAATCGTCCAGTGCGGCAGGAAGAAGACGCAGCTCGGGGTACGATACATCAGCTTGCTGAACAATTCGGATTTTTCTGTCCGCCGCCCATCGGTCCACGGCGGCTTTTGCGCCCGTCGGCCCTCGCCGGAGCGTGGTGCGAGCGGCGGATATCAAGCCGCTTAATAGACCCATTATTGGCGGTCTAAGGAATCGTGACTATTCAAAACTAGTTAAGCTACAGTGGTATATATTATATACACATTACGTAACCGTAATCCGTAAGGAAGAAGATAAAATAATACACCGGTAATAAGGACACGAAACTAGGGATGACAATTTTGCCCATGCCTTTAGGTTTTTTAACTATCCAACCCAATTGGGTTGGGTATGAAATCCAAATAGATGGATATAGGTAGAGTTTGATGGGTTTGTACCCATAACTGTTTACTTTGGGTTGGATTGGGTTTCTAACAAATGGATTTGGGTTTGTACCCATGCCCAAATACAAATTACAGTTTGGTACCTAAATTTAATAAATATGCATATTTAGTACCTAATTTTTTTTGCATATAAGTCCTCAAAATATCGATGGAAAATTATGTTTTGGTACCTAAATTTTTTTGGTCTTACATTTTGGTACCTAAAATTTTCAAGTTTTACAAATAGGTCCAATTTTTGCATGTGTAGTTAAAACACCCTCAAGTAACTGGATATCCATATCCAACCCATACCCATTTAGATTATGGAAGCAATATTCATACCTTACCCAAACCCAAACCCATTAACAAACCCCCCAAACCCATATGCACTTCACCCATACCCAACCCATTATCAATGGGTCTACTTGGGTTTAGGTATAATTACCAATGGGTGGGTAATTGACATCCCTACACGAAACCCGGGAACTGATCATCATTGTTTACTACAAGTTACCACCCATATATCATAGTGGTAAAGTATGGTAATTTTTTGTCCAGTATTTTTTTTTACCCAGGAATTGGTAGATCTAATAGATCATGATGAACTCGTTCCTTCTGATCAAACGTTTTAAAAAACGACTTAAAAACGAAAAAGTTACCATATGGTATGTAGTTGGTAAAAAAAAAAGTTTCTTGAAATATATTGAAAATTGATCTCATTTTGTAGAGCACAACGAACACGTTCCATCTGTGCAAAAAAATAAATAAATTGAAATCCAAGTTAGAACGAAGAAGATAAGAGTCGATTAAGAAAACTAGGAAAAATAAAATGTCTTTAAATGACAACCCTTAGATCTGGATTTTCTGGATCCACTTAGATCTAAAGGTCCAGATTTAGTTACTCATAGCTCAGTAACCAATGGTTACTGACCCTATCCTAAGCCCACGAAACTAGGGGTGGAAATTGGGGTGGGTGTGGTTACCCGCCCCACAATTTGTGGGTAACCACACCCACAAATATAGAATTATGCTAGCCACAACCCGTCCCGCAGTGGGTAGTGGTTAATAACCACTACCCGCTGTGAGTTGGTGCGGGTTGGTTGTGGATACCCACAAAAATTTCACATAAAATATAATAATATTGTAATTAAATAGTGATGTTGTATTTCTTCTCACACAAAAACAAAAGGTTTAATACACTTGTATATCCAAAACTTTCACGGTTGTGCCAATAATATCCAAATTTTTCGGAATACCACTTATATCCATGTTTTAAAGTTGTTCTCTGCCAAATCTATCCATTTTCCAATATATTTTTGGTTAAATACACTTATATATCCAAAAACACCATTAAAGGATGTGAAGGAATTGGATATAAGTGGTAATTCGGGAAATTTGGATATTATTGGCACAATCGTGAAAGTTTTGGATATACAAGTGCATTTAACCAAAACAAAAACATACATAAAAGAAAGTTAATAAAGTGTAAAATAAATTATAAAGAAAGTTAGTGTAAATTCAGAAGTGATGGATTTGGAAAGAGATTTGGAATAACGGAGAGGCGGAGTGATATGTTACCAGACTAACATCGTTGCATGTCACGACTCCTCCGATGGCAACAACAGCAAAACACAAAAGTGGCTCGATAAGTGGAGGCGGCCGCTTTTAATGAATGAATTATTTTCCACTCTCAATCATAGTCTTGTGTTGTTGGTAGTTGGTTGCATGTTCTGGTGTTCGTGAGTTCATGGAGAAATGGAGATGAGTTTAGGTATCTGACTAACGTTTATCGATTATTCCCCTCTTTTAACAAATCAATTAATTTATCTGACTATATCTATGGACTTGGTTTTGTTAAAAAATAAACATATAACACAGGGACAATGCTTATTTAATAAAAGTATATCACATGAACATTGCGTATTGACTTGAGTTTGTTTTATAGAATAAATGCATATTTGAATTTGGTAGCTACTTTAATTCTTAGTTTTCCAAGTTTCACAAACTAATATAACTAATGTAGTTAATGTGGGTTACAAAGTATTTTGAAGAAATAAATATAACTAATGTGGTTAATGTGTGTTTTGTGGGTAAACCATTGTGGGTAGTGGTTAACCACTAACCACAAAAATCAATATTTTGCTACCCACACCCAACCCACTATCCACAAATTGTGTGTATGGGTATCCACAAAGTGTGCGGTTTGCGAGTTACCCGCAACCCGCAAACCAAACTTCCACCCCTACAAGAAACTCAGATCAATGAACTGATTTCGAATAAGAAAAGGAAGAGGAAAGGGTTCGTGTACGAGAAACGAGAAAGGAGAAGTGAAGCTGTTTTCTATTGGTCCATGTGGAGCTAACGTGGCCTTACTGTTACTGGTTTATTTATTATGAGCTCAAAGCCTACTGACCTATTGGAATTGGCCCGAACCAAAGTCGTACCCAAACAGACGAAATTCTTTCCGTTGCTGTTTTCCCCATCGTTTTCGCCCCAAATTATTTTGTTCAGTTTCATTTGTTTTTTTTCCTCCAGAAACGAAGGGAAAGTGAAGCAGTTCGGCGTCGATCTCCTTCTCTCGATCCAAACTACTCCGGCGAGAATACATTGAGAATACAAAACTGCTCCGGCCACCCCAAGGAACCGATTCAGATCCACCGGAATTCCACCGACATGCATCTACTCCTCACACATTGACCCTTTTATAACTGAGATTGAAAATAATTCGCAATAATCATATCAGAGCTCGGCTCTGGCCCCTTCGGAGATGTATTGCGTATCCGAATTGTTGAATTTAGGATTTCCTTGAGAATGGGGTGTGGACAAATTAGGATTTATCAGGATTTCTCAATTTCAAGCTTTGTTAGTCCGTCAAGGCTGGAACAATAACAACAGTATAGGAAGTTTGGAAAAGAGGGCAAGAATTATGGTCCCACTCCCGGCTCGGGTCGGGTACCACTTGGTGCGGAATAAATTTAACTATTATTGCCTCGGTTGATGCCCCACGAGTTGGGTTGGAATTTAACTATTATCGCCATGTCACACTATCATGGCCACGTGGACCAATTAAATAAAGCGGCACCGGTGCCACACTTTTAATAGCGGCACCATAGTATTGGCCGAAATAGAAACACTACTTAGCACTACAGACTCTGTTTGTTTGGTTCCAAGAACACAATAGCAAAGCAGATCAAGAAATAAATTGTAGAACGGTTAATGTAAATGATACAACAAGTTTGTTAACGAAGTTCGGCTAAGCCTACGTCTCCGCCCAAGGATGACTATCCCCTTGAAACCTAGTATCTAAGATTTTCTTATTACGATTTCTAACCACAAATCGATTCTCTTTGGTTTAGAATCAAATCCTTAACAAGAAAGTTATAGAAGTTTAAACTCCTCTCTTAATCACAAACATACACACTGCTAAAGGATTCAAATTGCACTAAGCAATTAATGCTTACCACCACGCCTGGTGTACTCATCTCATCCTTTCTATAGAAACACCAGGATGGGATTAGGTGCTAACCCTTATATGGGTTAGCACCGTGATAACTAGCAAAAATCACTACGGATTATTATAAAATAAATACAACATCTAAGCTAAATCACTATTAATTCAAACTAGTAGTAGTTTTTCCTTTGGTTAGGACGGTGCTAACTATTGTACAATTAGCACCGTAGCCGTTTCCAGAAACACCATAACCATATTTATGTATAGATAAGAAAGATACTATTATTAATGTTTCTCTTGATGCTCTCCTTCACAGCTCAAGTTGTCGTTGCTTTGAAGGACAACTTGGGGTCTTAAATTTATATCTGCACACTTGTACAGAAAATACATTCTATCACAGAAACATATTTAGATAACAATATTACAAAAAAGAAGATGTAGGAAAGACAAGTTTCCAACATAAGATTGGTTATAGATGTTAAAATAATAACTATTTGTTTCTTTAGTGGGAATTGAAGTATGATTATTCTATTAAGATTTGTTAGTCTAGTTATATTGTTAAGTAATACCTTACTTATCGTTAAATGTAGGGTTGGAAGTTTGGTACCGGTATTTGGGAAATACCGAATATCGTACCAAATTTGTCTATATTTGGTATTACCGAATACACGTAATATTTCTTGGGATTTGGATTGAATTTCAATTGTTATTCGGTATTAGGTATTACGAGATTGAGATCGGGATATACAGAAATACCGATCAATACCGAAATATAAGCTTGTTTGTATTTTAACCTCTCAACTAGACTCTCTCATTTACTACTACATCACCCTCAACCACCAAAAATGTCATTTAATTATACACAGATCATCCATTACTATTATTAGTCTTCTCTCAACCTCCAATTCGTCGAATTTAAAGATTATCAATGACAAGAACTTGATATGTCTCCTCTCCTCCACTCTCCTTAATAATATCCTAATTCAAAAATCTTTGCTTAGTCATTTTCCCCTAAATTAAACAATAAAAGTGTCATTTAATTATACACAGATCATCCATTACTATTATTAGTCTTCTCTCAACCTCCAATTCGTCAAATTTAAAGATTATCAATGACAAGAACTTGATATGTCTCCTCTCCTCCACTCTCCTTAATAATATCCTAATTCAAAAATCTTTGCTTAATCATTTTCCCCTAAATTAAACAATAAAATTTAATTTATATTTAATTATTAATTGCAAAGGTAATTAATTTCATATTCGATAATACCGATTGGGATACCGAAGTATTTAGAGATTGGGATTGGGATACCGAAATTATTTAGGGATTGGGATTGACTTTAGGG